TATTATTAATTATTATGTATTAATCATTATAAAAATTCTTATTTGTGTTAAAAATGTTCAATTTCTGACTTGTTATCTTCATACTGTAATTTATTTTCACTTAAACCTTATAAGATGACTGGCAAGTGGGGGTAGAAGAGATGGTTCAGTGATTAAGAGAGCTGGCTGCTCTAGCAGAGGACCTGGGCTCAGTTCCAGCACTTACATGTGGCTGACAGTCATCTACAACTCCAGGTCCAGCAGGTCACACTCCCTCTTCTGACCTCTGCAGAAATTTCATGCATGAGTACACTTGCATACCTGCAGGAAAAACACTCAAGCACAGAAAAAAATTTTTAAATTAAAATAAAATATTTTTTAAAAAGAAGTTGTCTGGCAATGGTATTTTGGGACTGAGAACATAAAAAAGATACAAGGACATTTCAAGGCTGACTTTGTTTTGTCTGGAATGCTACAGAGACGTGCTCTCCAGATGCATCTTTCCTGCACAATTGAACATATTTCTTTTCCTTCCTTCCTTCCTTCCTTTTTTCTTTCTTTTGTTTTTTGTCTTTTTGAGACAAGGTCTTCCTGTAGCCCCAGCTGGCCTAGAATTCACTATGTAGACCAGGGTGACCTTGAATTCATAGAGATCTGCCTGCCTCTGCCTCCCAAGTGTAGAGACTAAAGGCATGCACCACCATGCCCAGATACCAACACACAACTTTTCAAATTAATGGGAATTATCTTTAAGCATGTTTTTCCTTTATAGACATCAGGTAGGGCCCCCTTAGAACAAATACTAACTTCAGACTTTTCAATCTGTTCACAAACCACCTGACTGAAAATCTTCTTTGATGAGTTCCTTAAGCTGTGTACATGTTAGTACACTCTGATCCTCCACCTTTTCCTTGTTCATTTTCACAGATGGATGTTCTGAATGTAGAGATGCACATTCACTGTCAGATTTCCTTATGTTCTCTCTGAGCCTTTTTCTGCAGATGAGAAAGTGGAGGGTTAATGTGCTTGCTTTCATTCTCAGGCATCTTCTGTTTTGGGTGCTTGTTTTCAAAATGATTTTGCCCTTTCATGTTACAGGGAATGGACACAGAAAAAGGAGAAACACTTAAAACTTCACAGCTAAGTATCTTCACATGTGCTCAGCTACTCACAAATGACCACACTGTCAATGAGAAATGAAAATAATTATCTGTAGTCTAGACTAGAAAAAAAATGAGTCAACAAACATGGTCAGTGTTAACTGACATAACATATCTCATTCATATTTTATTTTTAATAAATGTGCTTATTATGTTTTCTAAAACATGAATTCCATGATTTTTTAACATTGCAAAGCCCTCCTTATGTGAAAAAACATCACCTTATCCTACCTAAAAATGTTGAGACCTGACTGATGTAAGCCCCTTTTCTGAAGATGAGCATCTAGGAAAAGTTCAAATCAGTAAACACCAATCAAGAAGCAAAAAAAAAAAAAATTGCTGAACATTGCCTTTAATTACCAATACTCTAGTGTTATTACGAATCTATGTGGTCTCTTTTATGAAGTTCAGTTCTAACATATCATTTCCTGTGAGCATGGTGCACACATTTTTCCTAATACTACTGCTTTGCCACATGGAAATGAGTCAATCAAGCATGGAATTATAAGCATGAAGTTATTTTGCTATACACTGCACCTTAGGTTCTATTCTGGCAGGCATGATTCTGTTAATTGTATTTGTGTTGGTTTTATGGCTTTATTCTCTCAATATAGACACTAAGACAATTAGAAAATATGATGTAGAACTAACTCTATAACCTTGGCATGACTACCTCATAATAAATCTAGAAATTTAGAGACACTGAGAATGGGTTCTTTTTACTTGAAACTAACCTACTGGCTGTTATTGACACATTGCTCATAATGCAAATCACTTAAGAAGCTAAAATTTGCTTAGAGATATATGTACATAGTTTTGGGACACTACAAAGAATAAAAGCTATTCAGAATAAAATTGCCTTCAATTGTGAAGATATTCTA